GGAAGAGGCTAGGTCGTCAAAGTCACTGTCATCGTCATCACTCTCGAGCCTGGCACGCTTTCTCTTAGGTTGGCCGGACACCAGTGTTTGATATGTCGCTGTAGATCGTGCATGTTATCTATCAGCACCCCGCAATCTGCGCAAGCCGTGGCCATAGTCAATGATGTCTCACTACTCGTGTCTGAATCGGTTTCAATTGGCGTGAGCTGATGTTGGGGCAATCTCTCTTCTTGTGTCAGAGGACGATCCAGAGATTCTGTTGTAGTCAACTTCTCCCTACGCAGATCAGGTTCAGACTGTGCTGTTGTTCTCCTGTTTTCCTCATTTATGAGGTTAACATGCAGTCGATCCTTATCTTTGGTGGTAGGTTTTAGATCGATGGTGAGTTGTCCATAGGGTGTTTCAGTAACCTTTTCATACATAGCCATAAAGTGATCCATATGTTCGGGGAAAATTCTACGAGCGAAGAGTTTGATTTGCTGTTTATCTATGGGGGAATGAAACAGGGTCACATAATGCGCATTCAAAGCAATGTCTCTCGATTCCTTACCTCTCGGAAACAGATTTTGTATCAAGAGAAAGATCAATACATTCTTGTGATGTGAGGTTTGAGTAAACAACCGCGAAATACGCTTGTCGTGCTTTGCTTCGGCCAGGAAATCATCCAGGACCAACACGTTCTGTTGACGAGCATCAAAGTAATCCTCGTCCAAGATATCGTAGGGAATTCCTTTGACAAAGGTCAGCTGAGGCAGCTGCTCACCGAGGTCCTTATATAATGGCTGCCATTGAGTATAACACCAAACGATGCGGGTAGGTTGGGGTTGGATCAGGCCATGCCGGAGAACATGAGAGGTAAACACAGACTTTCCACAACCACTGGGTCCCACAACGAGCGCATTTGAGGGAATCAGGAACTTGAATTGTTCTCGAAGATCAGATATGCATGGTAAATGAGGCAGCCACGAGTGGACTTGCGATGGCGGCGGCGGCGGCGGCGGATGGGCTTGTAACGGCGGGTTGGCTTGACGCAGCGGCGGCGGTGGGTGGACTTGCGGCGGCGGCGGCGTTAGCGGGTGGGCTTGTAATGGCGGGTGGATTTGCGGCGGCGGCGGCGGCGGCGGTAGCGGATGGGCTTGCGGCGGCGGCGTTAGCGGGTGGGCTTGTAATGGCGAGTGGACTTGCGGCGGCGGGTGGGCTTGTAACGGCGGCGGCGGTATGCTATGTTTATTTCTCCTGTGTCGTAACATGACATCTCTCCTTGAAAACATTTTTTCACAGTCCGGACAGGTGGCAACCCCCATGGTGATCCAATACGGTGTGCGATTAGAGGGTATGAAGCTTTCTTTTATACCCTTGACTCTGTTGACGCTTCAAGGCAGCAATTGCCCGTTCCACCACAGCCTTCACCTCCGACACATGTTGTATTTTCACGGGTTGGGGTGTTGTCTTCGATCCCTGTTGGGTTGTCATCGTTTTCATTTTAGGTGTTACCTGTCTCTTCTTTGTCTTCAGCGTCGACTTCTTGGCTGCTTGTGGTTTCTTTCTCTGTTGTGATTTTCTCAACGTAGTCTTCCTAAATATATCTCTAGGGTCAAGTCTAATCTCTGATGCTTTCTTCATGTTGTTCACGTCCAATCCGTTTGCTGGCGAGAGTAAAACTGTTTGTCGGGGTACACTACTGTAGAGTTTATACTGTCTTACACGTGCAGGGATTCTTGGAAGACACTCTTTTCTTCACAGCACACTTGTGAGTATGTTAAAAAAGCGATCATATTAGTATATAGTCTTCGTCATACTACACCCGTGAAGGTCCCGGGTTATAAAAATCGACCTTCAGTAACCGATGCTTATCGGCGACTGACGGGGATCGGTTGGTCCGACTCGGATGACACGTGCCGTCGGTTCCTAGTTGCACAGATCGCTGCTCATGCTGTTGATCACTGGATTGTCTGGTCCAAGCTCGTTTATTGACAGACCACCGTCCTAGAGCTGGAATAATGCCGAGTGTGGCGTAAAACTAAATTCACTCACTCACTGATACCAATACATCTAAAAAGTAATGTCGTCATCATTTAAATGGTGAGTTTAAACGCGTATTTTACCCTTACAAGGACGAGTGCATTCCACACACCCTTCCTGTGTCATACATTCGTGTTCGGATATAGGTACAACATCTTCACGCACATACTTTTCCTACATCATTCAAATGTATTAAATACCGGATACGTTTAATAGACACCAACGAAAGAAAAGTTTAATGAGGGGGGAATACCCATATATATCCTCTCTGAAATAACTCCCTTTTAAAATAACAAATGTACAACACATCTTCCCTAACGTATCATAAATACGGGACACTGCTCACACCATTTATGAATGGGATGCTTCAGGCGAGGCTGGTATGTTGACATTAATTGTAAGGCCGGGGTATGTTGACATTGTTATGGGCGGTCGGTGGCTTAGTCTCTCTGCTATACATTAGCTATGAATAAACCTATATTTCCAATAAAACATTTTCCTCGTGAAACATTTTTCCATGATAAACTCTGTTCTCTCTTCGAATTAAGGGTGAGTATTGTAAACATGAAAATGTCCTATAGATTGCTTCCATCACTTTCCCAACAAACCTAGCTTCGTGCCGTCACACGGGTACGTATACTCATCAGTTTTCTATTGAACATAGACATGGTTCTAACTATCTATTGTCAAAATAGCACGTTCTGAAGTAAAACTGTGCACATCATGATACACGGTTAAAACTCAAACCGTACGGTTTATTTGTCATCGCGTTAAATGGAAACGCTAGCGTTGAAACATCAACTATGCTAGTCGGGATAGGGCTGAATAAGTGAACGCCCTCTATACAAATGGTTCATAATAGTACGCAGCGCGGGGTGATTCGAAATCCGGCTGCCTTCAGCGTTATAGTCAATGCAGGGTGACGTGACTACCTCGTTCTTGCGCGCTAAATGTAATTAAACGACACTGCTAGCTTACTGATTGCGTAGTCTTATCTATTTTGTCTCTATGTATTTTTTTCGATATAGGTTGTCTAACGTTCGTGGTGTACAACGTGTAGACCGTATAAGATGGATCTGATCCAGCTAGACGTACAGTTTTTTTTTCCTACATTACCCGGCGTATATCGTGTTGACTTAACCCGTCTCCATTGTGGTACTTATACTTTCAACACACACCCTGCATTCATCAAAACCAGGTCGCACGCTCTAGCGAGCACGGGTTAAACGACGAGGCCACGTCAGTTGTTAAGCGCGCTTAATTCAAACTGGTCTGTCTATTCAAGGCAGCACGCTATACACATAGCTCTATTCATAACCTTTTACTTTTGTTTTCTTATGAATTCTTTTCTGTCTTATAAACACACACCTTTCATTCCCCCTCACCTGTGACGCGCTGTTGATGCATGAGTCATCCTATCCGATCACGTGACTTGGATCAGCCAATCACCTTCGCATCCGCCTGGATCAACCGGATCAACCAAAAAAGGTTCCTGCCTACTGACTCTATACTACTGTGAATGGGTTGCTGTCATTGTATCAATTCAATTCAGTTTATTCGAATGTAACTGTACGGCCACAGGTCCATAGTACAGAATACATGACAATGTGGAAGCGGTTGAAAAAGTTACAAGGATTGGTTTCTTGATAAAATGGCATGATATATAAATAGAGATAGATTTCGTACAGCCGTGAGGCTAACATGTGATATTAAAGAGATAAACCTGTATTTTTTTGGATGTACATAGTATTTTTGTTCAATATATTATTTCCTTAAATTATCATATTTACAACATACAAGTAAAAATTATATTCATCTTCGACGACTTTTTAAAAAATATTGTCTACATAATCTTAAACATTTGGTATTTTTTTGTGCCTGCTAACTTCAAACATTAACCTGTGTGAGCTGCATCTGAATTGTGTAAAGATATTCTGCATTTTCTTAAATTTACATCAGTTACATAACTTTCTGCGCATATTTGCTTTTTAAAAAATCTATAATATTCTCAATTAACAGAAACAGTAGATCTCCATGTTTAAAAGTACATGTTAAAAAGCGTCTGTCTTATTTGTGATATGAACATTGCATGATTCTCTGAGAAACATTGGTTGTCCCAAATGTAACCATACCGACATTTATACAGTAGACATTTAACATTGTATGCCCAATTTTGATCTCCATTCTTTTCATACAATAACATCATATTATAACTGTTTTTGGTAATCTACTTCATCTTATGATTTTTATACCGTCATATATATACAAGGGCATGCGACCACATTCACCCTAAACCATTACGTTAGAAGTACTAAGTTTAACACCAAGAAATCTTTTACAAGCGTAAAAAAAATGTACGGGTTCAATTTCCTTACCTATTTTTGTGTCAAAAGGTTTAAAGACAAACTTATAAGCACAGTCGCTAAAATGTTCAAACATTTGTAAAATTCCCTATAACATCTTTTTAGCTTGGACTGTTGTATTACGCATATGTCGGATCTATGATAATGTACTCGAAACTATTAAAACAAGATATTTATATGAGATTTGAGTTTGAAGTAATTGTCCCCTAAAGCAACACTTTTCATTTTTTGACAGCGTATGTCCTTTGATAAATACAACAATTGTTGTCTCATCTAAGTTAACATTAAGTTACCATATAACACTGCAGCATAACATGGATCGATGGATAACTAGGAGATTTAACGTGCGCTTTCCGACTAAAGCGTATTTCGCACACGGGGAAGCACTTTATACTATTGGGAGAAAAAAAGCGTAATAAATAAATAAAGAAGTGCGACCCCAAAAAATGTAACTTTTACAGGACTAATCTAATAAAGCTGCGTGGGGTGGGGGGTTTGGCTGGGGGTGTGTGGGTGGTAATAAAATACTCAATAATACGGAAAATTTGGGCGTGGGTTGGAGGGGAGGGGGTCAAGCGTGGGAAGGCACGGCGTCGGCAGGCGAGCTTGTGTGGCGACCAGGGTGCCGTTTCACGAAAGCCTCTTAGCGCTACGACCTCCTAAACCACGTCGTAAAGCACCTCTTAAATATTTGTGCCGTTTCACAAAGACCTCCTAATTTTACACCCCACCGTAAACAACCTCCTAACCTACGATAGGTATGGGGCACTTGTAACTAGCTTACGACATCCTAAGTCAGCGTCTAATATGGCGACACTATTGAGAATTAAAGAAATTTTGAACAGGAGAAACATTAGGCGAGAGCGAATATTCAGGGATAGGACTGAAGTGTTGGATACTTTGACCGACACGGAACTGATTGCCAGGTATCGCTTTCCTCGACACACCATCCTACAGCTGGTTGATCGGGTCAGCGCGGATATCTCTCGGCCGACCCAACGTTCGTGTGCCTTACCTGTCCATGTGCAGGTGTTAGTAACGCTTAGATACTTTTCAAAAGGGGGATTCCTGAGCGAATTAGGAGATATACATGGTATTGCCAAATCAAGTGTTTGTCGCGTGTTGGAAAAGACGACAGATGCAATCGTAAAGTCGTATGACTTGATCCGGTTTCCAACGCCCGACAAACACGCTAAACTAGCGGAGGATTTCTTCCACATCTGTGGTTTTCCGAAAGTTGTTGGCTGCATAGATTGTACTTTGATACCCATTCAACGACCAGCATTAGATGAAGCAGTATATGTGTGCAGAAAAGGATTCCACGCCATCAATGTGCAAGCTGTGTGCGACGCCCAACTCCGGTAAATATCCTTGACGTCCTTGACCCTTGCAATGTAAACAAACAATCTAGACTTGCTGGTACTTTCAGATAATAAACGTCATTGTGTCATAATTGATTTGTCAACAGCTCATGTAGGCTTATTTATGTCCAAATGTTTCATAATTATTCGGCTTATTTAAATATTATTTTCTTAACAAATGTGGACTTGTGGATTTAGTTATTTATGTATGTATTTATTTATTTTTTATTTTTGCAGATTCACAAACATTATTGTCCAATGGCCAGGATCAACCCATGATTCACATATTTTCAACAACTGCAATTTGAAAAGGCATCTGGAGGAAGGGAAATATGACATCTGGCTTCTTGGTGATTCAGGGTAGGTACATGTATGTCCAAGTTATTTATGTCATGTTTGTCTTTTAAAGTATACATACATATATATCGGGAACATTAATTTATCAAAACATTATACATTAGGTATGCCTGTAGACCCTACCTCCTGACACCTGTCAACAACCCTGCAAATGAAAAAGAGGAGAAATACAACCGCTGTCATATTGGAACAAGGAACTCAGTTGAGAGGGCATTTGGATTGTGCAAATCTAGATTCAGGTAAATATTTAATTCATGGAAGGTTTATGTTTTAATTCAAGGTTTTTGATGAAGTAACTGGACTAATGAGCATGTGTATTGCTGATTGTATGTCATTCTGATTTCAAAATACCTGTGCTGTTGGCATGTATTTATATCATGATATAACATTTATACTAACAGGTAAAACGCATAATATAAAATATGCGTTTTACCTGATGATAAGTATTACTTGCTAAACTATAATTATATATGAAATGATGTATAAATATTACACCATGATAACTCATAAAAGCACTTGATGTGGATCTAACTATTATAGGAAAACGTAGTATAAATGTTATATCATGATATATTCATCACTATATTTGTAAACACAACTATATAAGTATGTTACATCTGCTTAGGTGTCTACACAAAACGACAGGATGCCTGTTATTCAGCCCACAGAAGAGCATCAAAATTATTACTGCCTGCTTTCAACTTCATAATTTGGCAATATTACTGAGGTTGCCTGAGCCTGATGTTCTTTGTGAGAATCCTGGACCAGAGGTGGACAGCAGTCCTGCTGATAACCACAACATGGATGGATGTAGAGTCAGGGGAAATCTTATCAACTCTAGGTTTTAAATGAGGTAGCATACATATCCAATTGTGATACTTTTACTAAGAGGCCACATAATGTCAATAATCACATACTAAAAGTTGTAAGGTTGCACTTTTTCAAAATCCAGCACCACTTTATGGCCTCACTTGTGAATATTGCATATTATTGTTTTTTGGAGTTTATGAAAATGTATTGTTTTTGTACATATGCTATATCCAAATAATAACACAAACAAACTAAACATCTTTGTGATCACAAGTAAACAGTAACATGAGTCACTGCCTTTAATCAAATTTGATTATGGGAGACAATGAGTTTCCAAATGATTTTTTATATTCAAATTTTTCTCTTTCCAGGGCCAGGCTCTGTCTTTGGATGTCACGGATGTCCCGCTGCACAGACAGAATTTCCTCAAGGAGAGACATCTTTCTCTCCTCCTGGGCTTGTAAGGACCTTATCTCTCCCAGAATGTCTTCTGAAAATATTTAGACAATTTTGGGTTATATCAATGATATTTGGATGTTCATTAATATTATTTTATTAAACATTTATGATCATGATATGTAATACTGAAACCACTACATTATGAACAAATATATGCCATACCTTCATTAGATGTTTTCTTGATCAGAGGCTTCCCTTTAGGTTTTCCTTGAAAACAAATTTATATTGTTATTAACTAGAATTCATGATATAGTGACTTGATTTTTTAATGTTAATACAAATTTACTATTGAATAAAATTGCATAATGTTTAATACATACTGGTTCTGATAGCAGGAGTCATCATTATATCCTCCAGACTGGCTTGGTTCTTTTCTGAAATGTATATAATATTTTTAAGATAATTGTAACTGCTAACATCTCACATGGGGTACCAGTATTCAGTTTGTTCATATGTATTTACAGCATACACTTGGATTTTTAGAATAAAATAGCACCAAGTATATGAATTTATTCACCATGTCAGTGTAAATTGTAACATTTGATTATCTTTATTATTAAAAATTATTTCATACCTGTGATAGTTCCACAATCATTTTCTCCTGTGCTTGTAGCTGTCAGTGGAGTGTAAAACACCTCCTGTGGAGAATCTGAAATAGATAAGTTGTGAGTGCACTAAAATATTTGTATTGAAGATATTGCTTAATTGTGCCTGACCGTTAAGTGCATCGAGAAATCTCAAATATTTCTTTTGTATACATGTGTTCATTTATAATACATTTAATATGTAAGGGGAATTTGCCAATATGCAGGAGGTATTAGTTTTTGAATATGGCAATATTTAGTTTATTTACATCTTCAAAACAAAGAAATAAATAAGTTTGAAGTATTATTTACCAAACATTAATGCCTGTGTAGCTTCTTCAGCTTCATCAGCTACTGAAGGAATCATGCTGAACACTGTTAAATAAATAAAACATATTTTTCATTGGTGTTATCATAACAAATACTGTCAATATGTCATAAATATACCATCAAATACCAATAAAACTTGATTAAGTTACATACTTTATTGACTTTAGTACACATGTACATGAATCCCAAGAAGGAAGTGTCATCATTACCAGGTGTTTCCATGCCTCCTGAGATCCCCTCAATAGCACAGGATGGAATCAGTTGTAGAATCTATTTAAAGAAGGAATTGGTGGCTATATTACTATAATAATAGTTTATTTTAAAATGTGTAATACACAATTAGTTTTTCATGAATTATGTCTATTGTCACACAAACTCAATATGTTTCAAACCATTTTACTTTATCAGGTACATATTGAAACATTTTGTTTGTAGGCTTCATGCTGACATGAATTTATGTTAATTATTTACCCTCTTTTCAGTTGCAGTTAGGTCATCTGGGGGTGGTCCACCACCAGTCCTCCTAGCATTCAGCCTCCTGGCTGACTCTGCCTTCTTCACACATCCCTTCATGTCCGTCCATTTCTTACGTACTTCATCCTCATTCCGGGTTATGTCACCAGTGGCATTTAGTCTGATATTCAAAATTATTATTATTTTATATTATTATGATTAGTAATGGTCTCATTTGTGAAAATTATTTGAAATTGGTATCTTTATTTAAAAATATGACTGTACTGTGTAAAATTCGTGTAAGATGTTACTTTATTTGTTCATCATGAAAAAACTGACAAGATTGATGATGTGGTTTTGAGGAACAATCACTCACCCACTCTCCTGTTCTTTCATATTTGATCATTATGCAATAATCATTAACAGTGAGAGGTTAATAAAATTTTGAAGTGAAGTGGTGGTTCGTAGTTGTTTATGTCATAAAGTGAAACCAAACAAATGAAAATAATCTGACCTTATTTAACTATCATTACATTATGTAATCCAGTATAGATCCACTTCTCTCAATAAACCTTTCCCCCCATTTCCAATTTGTTTCATTATACCTCACATTTTATGACCCTTGAAACACATGACAAATTCTTGTTACGTTTTTGAACATTCTGGGAAACAAATATGTAAGTTGAAATAAATAAACAAATGAATATATAGTGGAATGTCCCCCTGCTTTCATGGGTGAAAATCATAGACTCATTTTTATATTTTATGAGAGTTTCATTTTAAGGTTTCATCAGAATAAAAGGCGCTTACTTCGTGGTGATATCTTTCCAAATCTTCTTCTTTGTATTATTTGTCACTGTATTTGTAAAGGCCGAATTCAGCGTGTCAAAATTACTTTCCACGCCTGACACAATGATGTCTATGTCAGCCGAGGTGAAGTTTCTCTTTCTTTTCTTCAGTCCAGAAGCGTCCATAATATATATCTTAAGGTCGTCTGCCGCTACGAAGGGGAACAACTCTAATATCACAATCTTCCGTGTTTCCACACAAGAGAGTTACTATTTTTGCCGATGCAGCTTGTTGTCGCTGTTATTTACTATTTAAACCCTCACACTTGACAGCTATTGATGGAACTTTGATGTGTAACAGACTATCATTAAACTCGAACAGGTTTGTAGTTATCTATACACACCATATGAGCTTTTATTTCATTCATGTTTAGCATCTGGCTCTTTTTTGATAAAAATTAACAGGTGCGCTTCCATTTCCGGTTTGAATTGTATAGCGTTGCTATGCAAGTTAGGATGTCGTAAATCGTAATCTCACTCTTATCTTAAGAGGGGTTTACGACGGGCTTACGATGCCTTTGTGAAACGCTCGTAAGACAAGTCATTAGGACATCCTAAACTAGGTCGCAGCGGTTAGGAGGTCGTAGCGCTAAGAGGCTTTCGTGAAACGGCACCCAGGGCGTTTACTGGGAAACGCCAGTGAGGAGGAGGTTGGCGAGCTTGCATTCTTCCTGAGAGATGTCTTGGAAGGATCCCTTGACGAGACGAGCTGCCATGGCGGCGATGAAGTGTTCTGGGCAGGCGAGTTCGCTTTGCTCCAGAAACTCCTTGAGGTCCGTGAAGTTGTGGATGTCATGCTCAAACCGTTCGCCCTCTAGCATAACATGATGCGTCGTGATTTATAGGGCACAGATCCTGTCCCGCCCAGTGGTATGAGTGTAGTTTATGCTGATCCACTGTATTACGTACACTTTCATCACTACTTCAACGATGTCCACTACCCCTGCCCATCTCCCACCTCTGTACATCTCTCCACCTCTGCCCATCTCCCACCCCTGCCCATCTCCCACCCCTGCCCATCTCCCACCTCTGCCAATCTCCCACCTATGTACATCTCTCCACCCCTGCCCATCTCCCACCCCTGCCCATCTCCCACCTATGTACATCTCTCCACCCCTGCCCATCTCCCACCCCTGCCCATCTCCCACTCCTGCCCATCTCCTACCCCTGCCCATCACCCACCTCTGCCCATCTCCGATCCCTGCCCATCTCATACCCCTGCCCATCTCCCACCTCTGCCAATCTCCCACCTATGTACATCCCTCCACCCCTGCCCATCTCCCATCCCTGCCCATCTCATACCCCTGCCCATCTCCCACCTCTGCCAATCTCCCACCCCTGCCCATCTCCCAACCCTGCCCATCTCCCATCTCTGCCCATTTCCCAACCCTGCCAATCTCCCAGCCCTGCCATTCTCCCACCCCTGCCCATCTCCCATTCCTGCCCATCTCCCACCCCTGCCTGTCTCCCAATTCTGCCCATCTCCCACCCCTGCCTGTCTCCTACCTCTGCCCATCTCCCAACCCTGCCCATCTCCCACCCCTGTCTGTCTCCCACCTCTGCCCATCTCCCACCATGCCATTCTCCCACCCCTGCCCATCTCCCATCCCTGCCCATCTCCCACCCCTATCTGTCTCCCACCTCTGCCCATCTCCCACCCCTGCCCATCTCCTACCTCTGCCCATCTCCTACCCCTGCCCATCTCCCACCTCTGCCAATCTCCCATCCCTGCCCATCTTCCACCCCTGCCCATCTCCCACCCCTGTCTGTCTCCCACCCCTGTCTGTCTCCCACCCTGCCCATCTCTCACCTCTGCCAATCTCCCACCCCTGCCCATCTCCCATCCCTGCCCATCTCCCACCTCTGCCCATCTCCCACCTCTGCCCATCTCCCACCTATGTACATCTCTCCACCCCTGCCCATCTCCCATCCCTGCCAATCCTCTACCCCTGCCCATCTCCCACCTCTGCCCATCTCCCACCTCTGCCAATCTTCCTCTGCCCATCTCCCACCTCTGCCCATCGCCCACCCCTGCCCATCTCCCACCTCTGCCCATCTCCCACCTATGTACATCTCTCCACCCCTGCCCATCTCCGATCCCTGCCAATCCTCTACCCCTGCCCATCACCCACCTCTGCCCATCTCCCACCTCTGCCCATCTCCTATCCCTGCCAATCCTCTACCTCTGCCCATCTCCCACTCCTGCCCATCTCCCATCCCTGCCCATCACCCACCTCTGCCCATGTCCCATCCCTGCCCATCACCCACCTCTGCCCATCTCCCACTCCTGCCCATGTCCCATCCCTGCCCATCTCCCATTCCTGCCCATCTCCTACCCCTGCCCATCTCCCACTCCTGCCCATCTCCCATCCCTGCCCATCACCCACCTCTGCCCATGTCCCATCCCTGCCCATCACCCACCTCTGCCCATCTCCCACTCCTGCCCATGTCCCATCCCTGCCCATCTCCCACTCCTGCCCATGTCCCATCCCCGCCCATCTCCCATTCCTGCCCATCTCCTACCCCTGCACATCACCCACCTCTGCCCATCTCCCATCCCTGCCAATCCCCTACCTCTGTCCATCTCCCACCCCTGCACATCTCCATCCCTGCCAACAAGGCTTTCCTTGGCCAACACCTGCATCTGCGCATTAACTATCACAATGTAGGAGAACGATTCGAAGTAAATCCTTTGAAAACGTTAGTAGTTGAACATGTAGATACTATAGCACAACACTCATAATGACTTATAGCATCTACCCGAACATGTGATACAGTCATTGACAATGGACAATGGACCTCAACAACATTCAGATGTTGCTACAGTGGTAGAAGAGCTGTATTCTTTATGCAAATTCAGCTTCACGAAACCAAAATTTTAACGTAACATCAATATGCGCACGACCCTTGAGTTGAAACTACAGAGCTGTGCCACGAATCTCATGCAAGCTGGTATGGATATGTACATTCTGAAAACAAATAGAAAAAAAGGAAATACTTACCACTTAACAACAGATTCTCATAATCCGATTTATCCTCTTTTGTGTCATACTTGTGAAGCGTAGATAATGCTAATAGTATGACGCCACATGCGAATCCATAGATCAAAACACTGGCAATATTGAGGCGAGCCATCTTCTATTGGACTCTGTTACATGGGTGCATTCATTCAGCGTGGAGACGTGCTTAGAGATCCGCTTCAATACGTAGGTAGCCTGAACACGGAATGCGCTCCTGATGTTTACGTAAACGTGACTCTGTCGTGTGTTACTAAGAAAGTGTTATCCCAAATATAACATTAGTTACATGTGAAAAACAGGTTATAAACCTATTCAAAGTCTGTTAGCGATCCCAATGAATAGGGGTCGCTATTAAGTAAGAGACTTCTTTCTATAGGCATTAAGACCTATTGTGAGGTTTTACTTTCCAGTCGGGTTAAATCTCATAAACAGGAACGTTTCGCCCCCTTGGTTTTTCCCTCTCCCCAGGGCATGCTCTGTCTACCAAAACCGAGGGAAAGTGTTTTCTCCAATACGTAAACCAGTCTTCCCAACATCTTTACCAGTAAAAACTGCTGACTGTGCACAATGCCCTATCATGCATGTACATTGATGGAAGTATATGTCCTTTCAAAGACACCTGGAGGCGTTAACGCGTTTAAAGACAATCAGTGATCTGCACATGTACTTTAGATTAATGTACTTAACGACCACTGCATCGAGTTTAGGCCCTCATCGCGTTGAGGCCCTGCAGATCCAGAGTCCTTCGCCTGGATGAGGTCGGCTGGCCTGAAAAGTGAAACAGAAGGCTTTCTGTTTGCTGCTCAGGACCAGTCCCTTCCCACTCGAAACCGTCAATATGTGATAATGCATCAACATGTAAATATGAAATGTAGATTATGTAATGAATTAAATGAGACGGTCCATGGGCGTCATGACAAATCATAAATACACAATTCTTTGGAATAGGCCCGTTTACAGCCTCCGACGTATCCAGGCCAACAAACCTGATCTTGTCCGTTTTGATAAATCCAATGAAATCATTTATATCATTGATTTTTCTCTCCCTCTTGACACTAATGTGTTTGACAAGATAAAGGAAAGCCATGGCAAATATGCAGACCTCACTTTCGAAATGCCACGCTTGCATCCCAAGTACCAAGTTGTCCGACTCCCCATTGTTCTCGGTGCCTTAGGTTTGGTACCACCCAATCAGTTGACAGACATTGGGAGAGTTTAATTTCGCTTTGTTTGAGCCGTAAGCTCATTAATAAAAACAAACAGAACAAAAAGGGCTTCATACACATCCTTGGCGTACACCCGCATGGCAGATTAAAGAATCTGAATACATGCCGTTTTGTTTAACACATGATTTGACATCCTTATAAATACCACATAACAATTTACTCATTTCATTACTGTCACCATGTGAATTTAATTGATACCATAACTTGTCTCTACAGACCGAATCGAATGCTTTAGACAAGTCTGCAAATATAGCGTACAATTTTCCATGTTTACGTTAAATATACCTATCTATAGGAGCCTGGAGGATAAACATATTATCAGTGGTAGAGTAACCTTGTCGAAAACTTGCTCTTACTCAATCTTATCAAGTGCATCCGACCACAATACCAAGCGTTTATCAATAATGCTAATAAATATCTTACTGAATATAATGGTAAGTGTAATCCCCCTATAATTTTCAACATCTGTCACTGAGCCGTTTTTGTGAATTGGAACGGTAGTAGTACCAAGGGTTCAATCTTTTTGAAAGAAAGAGGTATCCATTATTGTATTAAATACTATTTCCAAATACGACAGGGTGTTATCAAGAGAGTATTTAAAAAAATCTGTTACTAGTCTATCAGTTCCAGGGCTTTTCAAGCTTTTCAGATTTTGAATAGCAGATTTCATTTCTTGTTTTTAGATTGGGGAACTTAATATTTCCGTTGCAAAATTGGTTTCATCATTATCAAAAGAGTTCAACTGCAAGTTATTTGTGGAATTTTCATCGCTAAAAAGATTTTTGAAGTAATTAAACCACTCATGAATTTCTAGGTCGTCCAAAACTGTTTCGATGAGGTGATACTTTCTTCCAGTTTTCTTCTGCTTCTATCCATGAAATTTTGTTTCTTTTTTTCTGCAAATAGCTTTATACCTATTTTTCGAATCAGTGTACTTAGCAAGTGAATTTTCATCCTTAATTTCACTGAAATGGTTTAAAAGAGTGCATCTCTCCTTCTTTAAAGAGGTTGCTTACAAAAACAAAAAATTCAAGAAATGGGTATATTTGGTATCATTTTGTAGGAAAATATGTCCTGAATCAAATTACGCAATAATAAAACCAAGTCACCACGGCATTTTTTGAATAAGTGGCGCCATCTAGAGGCACCGGATGATAAAATTATTTTGCCAATAAAATGGTCATTTTAAAGTTTGATTATTAAATGAGTGTTTTTAAAAAGACATATTACAGTATTAATGTGACACAAAACAGAAAAATGAAAATTCAAGTCAAAACATTTTTAATTTTACACATCATTTGACTTTAAAAAAAGCACATTTTCCAAAATCCAAAAAATTGATTCATCAGTCAAAAAAGCATTTTACAAAATCAAGATATTTTTCAATCTGGCTTATTTCTAATGTTTACTTATTGTAAAATAAAATTATGAAATAAAAACAACATGTTACCAGAGGATATTCAATTTGTTTTCAATCAACACAGCATACTCCTAAAATAATGAATCAGGGGAGGTAACTCTTACCCAAATTTACATTTCTATGAGTTCAAGTACAATTAGCCGCGAGTCAAAGGGACGGTATGCGCATGAACAATGGTATCCAACGTCTTTAACAACTCACATTCCCAGTCAAACCACTTTTTAATTTCCCTGTTAGGGGTTACTTCCCTTTTCATTACATTCCCTGCATATACAATTGCTTCTGTAAATAACGATACACTTTCATCAATATTTGTAAAAACAGAATCAATAGCTTTATTAAGAGGCATTCGAAAGCGTCTGAAAACAGACGTTCTTGGTAAATGTCTGCTTTGCTGTGATCCCACCTAAACATTGAATGACTATGGTAGGCATTATCAAATGATGTTTTTTCCACATGAATGAAGCGCTCGTAAATACATTGTGTTGGTTGGTTGGTTTGTTGTTCAACGCCGCACTCAGCAATGTTCCAGCTATATGACGGCGGTCTGTAAATAATCGAGTCTGGACCAGACAATCCAATGATTAATATCATGAGCATCGATCCACCTAATATGAGATCGATGACATGCATCAACCAAGTCAGCGAGCTTGACAAATACATTATGATAGGCAGATGCAGTGATTCGTGTCGTGACTCAATATCACAATTTGGACACAAGTCAAATATATCTCTGGTGCTAATAATGTAATCGATAACACTTGCTCCAGCATTGCCAAAAAATGTAAAATCACCTTTCCCGGAATCACCTCCACAGCGGCCACCCCCAATATTGTACATTTAAAACAGCACATACGTTAATAAAACATTTCCCAAAATGATTAAGAACAGTATCGTTTGAATATATCCACAGATTAAACCCGTCTAAGAGAAAGTCCCAGTATGAAGTATCCTGGCCATGGAGATATTCAAGGATATTATCCTTTCATAATCTGGCTCTTTGCTAGTTCTTGCATAAAAATCATCCCCTAATATGCACGAAACGTCACCAACATCACCCAGAATGTCAGGCGTTCATCCTGGAAATAACAAAATACCGTTTTAAGATCCAACATTACTGTCGTACAATGTAGATCCTTCTGGATGAGACCGCCTCCGTGGTCTAGTGGTAGAGCGTCCGCCCGGAGAGCGGAAGGTCCGGAGTTCGATCCCCGGCCGCGTCATACCAAAAGACGTTAAAAGATAGTACTTGTTGTTACCCTGTCTGGCGCTCGGCATTAAGGGGCTAAAACAAGGACTGGTCGGCTCGGAGTCAGTATACTGTGTCTGAGTGGGGTATTCATGTTACACTGCGGCATGGTATCTCAGTGAGCTAGCACTATAAATCGGCATCAGCCCGGACTAGCACAAGCAGCCACACAAACAGACACACGTACATGCACGTCGCTATATTAGTGCAATAATGTTGGACGCGACGTTAAACCCTATTTCACCTCACCTCACCTTCTGGATGAATATACACACAGCAGTATAACACGTGTTTTTCAAGTCCAAACAGTGACCTGTCAAGTAATAGATATACACCCCTTTCTGTGATCCGTGAGTTTTTAACATAATCTATAAGCTTCCTTTTTACGAGAACACAAATTCCACCTGAAGGTCTTCCAAAATTTGCTTTCTTGTCTGCTGTTTTAATATAGTTGGTATATTTGCAGAACATATCATCGAAATTCAGTTTCTGGGTCCATGTTTCTGTCAAACCAATTATGTCAAGTGTTTTTTTTGTTGAAAATGATAGACGCTCACAGTCTGATAACTTTGAGAGCAGTTCTGATTGATATATTCAAAAACACGAGTTTTACAGCATTACTAGTAGGTTCAGACGACGACCCCTGTATATCCGGGCCCTGGCCACACCCAATCTTCTGAGTCGGTCTCCCACCCCTGCCGGTGTTACCCCTGTCGGCCCGACGTGGGTTGTTTCCGTCACGTGACTCGGGTCG